GATCGGCATAAACATTGAGTCGGGCATGTTCCTCTACAGGAGGAATATTCATATATATATATTAATTATATATATATATATCATATATGTATCATTGTTAAAACGTAATATATATATACATGTATATATATTCCTTTATCCTATAAAATCACATCCGGAAACCCGCCCGGCAAATCCACAGCGGCCGGACCACGCCATCATAGTACCCCACAAAGGCGCACGAAGAGCCCAAAATGCCTCAAGAGGCCCCCGCTCCCTCTGCCAGACGCCTTCAAGTGGTCTTTTGGACCGGCCCCAAATGCATCCAAAACCTTTTACGATGGCCTCATGGTGGCCCAAGACGCCCCCAAACAGCTTCAGAGCCTCCCCAAAACGGTCCCAACAAGGCCCCCGCACGGCCGCAGAGCCCTCCTAGACGTCCAAGATCGCCTCACAGCACGGCCGCAGAGCCCTCCTAGACGTCCAAGATCGCCGCACAAGCGGCTTCGAAGCGCCTTAAGACAGCCCCCCAATCCGAACCGAAGTCCTCCCTAAAGATCTCGACGGCGTCAGACGGGCCAGGAGCGCTTAAGCATGGTTCCAGAGGCCCCCAAGAGCCCCCCAAACGCCCCCAGCGGACCGAGGAGACTCTCAAGATCGCTGCAAGAGGCCCCCAGCACACTGTCAAGAAACCCCAAGCGTGCCAGAAAACTTTCCCAGAGCGCCATCCTCCTCCTTCTTCTCTTTCCCAACAGTTCCTCCGGGATTTCTTCAACAGCTGGGAGAGTCCGCAGCCCCGTCTCAAGGACGACGTTCTGTCAAAGAGTACACACGGCCACCCCCGTTCCTCTCATGTCTGCTCTGTTCTGTCTAAGCCGCATCGAGTCTAAGCGTGCGCGAGTGTGACTGCGAGCGCCCATCCGTGGATCTGGCTGCCCTACCCCTTTGTGAACGTTGTCTGGGTGTGGCCACGAACATGTCCAGGCGGGCCACGATGTATCGCGGACGCTTCTACAAAACTCCCAGCGGGCCCCCAAGGGTAAGATCCAATGCTTTTCCTTAGCTACTCATGTGATTCTCTCATTCTCGTCTTTCGGACTCCAGAGCGTCCCAGACAGACCACGAGGCCTCTATACGGCCCGACGAGGGCGCAAGAGAGCGCCCCGTCTCCAAGACGCAGCCCCGTCAAGGATTCCACGCGGCCACACATGTGCACACATGTCTGCATTGTTCTGTCTCAGCCGCATTCAGTCCACGCGTACGTGAGTTTCAATACGAGTGCTTCTGAGTGGATCTGTCGCTCTTGGCCTCAGTGATTGTCGTTCGGAGTGGCGCAGCCCCAGTAGGAGTTACACACAGCGGTCCAGACCCCGTGCTGACACTACTCCACACAACAGCGCAGGTGTCTGCTCCCTACCCCTACCCACCTCTCTTTCAGTACCCATTTAGGCTCAATCGTTCAGCGTTATGTTTGCCCGGTTGCCGTGGCGCCACGTGGCTGCGTCCACGGCGGTTGCAAGCGTCGCTGTGAGTCATAACGACTCCCCGAGCCGCACTCCGCCTGTCATCGCTGCGCGGACCGGGCTTTGGACATTACGCCATGCCCGATTCCTGACGCAACCATCCCTGGTTTTGTGCAGCCCGAAGGCCGCAACACTGCAATGTTCTGCGTGCCAACAGCACTTGCCTCGAACAGATTTCAGCGACAACCAAAGACCCAGATCCACAAGGAAGTGCCACGCTTGCGCCGCCGGCGCTAACCCCTCCGACCCTCACACCACATTCTCTTGCGCTGCTTGCGGTGACGTCCTCCCCCGGGATAGTTTCAGCACCAGGCAACGCCATGAGAAAACAAAAGTGTGCATCCAATGCATCGGTCGCGCTCATCCTCCTCGGTCGTCTACAGCTTACCAGTGCGCCAGCTGCAAAGCCACGAAGTCCGTGGATGCGTTCGTTCCTCGAGGCGTCCCTGGACCAGACCCTGTCTGCACTGACTGCACAGCGGGCGGCCGTTACACGGCGGCTTGCGCAAAATGCGGCCTCGTCCTCCCTCTGGACGACTTTGGCAATCATCAGCGCGAACATCTACTTGGAGTGTGCCGGTCCTGCGCCGAGCCTGGCAGACCTTCTACCCAAATACATTCACTTTCCCTGGGCGCTCTCGCCAACCCTTGCGAACATTGCGGGGCACCACGCTTCCAGCGAGAAGTTCGAGGCTTCTGCTGTGCACAAGGAAAGTACGCCATTGACTTCTCGCAGTACTACCAGCAGCCAGGCGATGCCCTTCTGCAGCTGTACAGACGCACCTGGCCTGTGAAGACTACGCACGGGAACCTCGTCCACGACGACGCCACGAATGCGCCCAAGCTTACGGGCTTCACTGCGGATTCTCGCCGCTACAACAGCCTGCTCAGCCTCGCCGCCCACGAGGTCCAGAGCGCCACACCAGAACGAGAAGTTCGATTCGGGGGCGTCCTCCGACCATCGTTCATCCGCATTCACGGCACCATGTACAGGAAGGTGTACTCGGCTGCCGACTCTGGGCCAGTCCGCTACCTCGTGGTCGACGACCGTGAGCGTCGCACGTGCGCCCGAGACCACGGCCTCGACCTCTCCATCGTGTCCCAACTGGAGAAGCTCATCATACCGCACAATACACACATGCAGCACGTTCAGCACCTCAAATCAGTTTGGCCCCGTGCCTCTGAGGCTTCCGTCAGTCTCCGGTGGGACGAAGGTGTGCAAGAAGTTGCCGCAGTAGTGCAACAACGCCCCGACGCCATCGCCGAACCCAGGGCAGTGCGCTTCCGTTTGACGCCAGGCGCTCGCCCACAATACCTCTCGCCCTTGCACTGCCTTTACGAGCCTCTGAGCTACCCGCTGTGGTTCCCCTACGGAGGCCGCGGGTGGAGCACCGACGCCGTGTCAACTTCGGGCAACCGCGTGACGCAGATGTGGTGGTACCGCCAGCACCTCCTCCGGCAACCCCACATGCACGCGTGCGGGCGTCTGTTGAACGACTGGCTGATCAACATGTACTGCCGAATGGAGGACGAGAGGCTGTCGTTGGTCCGGAGGGAGCAAAGCACCCGCATTGCCAGCCGAAAGGATTTGTGCGAGGCCTTGGCCAACGAACATATCCCCCCCAGCGCAATCGGCACCAAGTACTACCTCCCTTCCACTGTCCCCGGCTCTCCACGCCATCTGAAACGACTCCGAGTGGACGCATTGGAACTGGCACGCCGCAAGGGACCCCCTACTTACTTCATAACCCTTACCTGCAACCCCCACTGGCCAGAGATCCGAGAGGCACTCTCCCCTGGACAAACCGCCGCCGACCGCCCTGACATCGCAGTGCGTGTCTTTCACGGACGTCTGGAAAAGATGATGGGCTACCTGAAGTCAGAGTTTTGCGGCCAACGTCGGTACGTCATTCGCGTGATCGAGTACCAGAAGCGAGGCCTGCCGCACGCGCACATCGTTCTCGCATGCACCCATCCCCCACCTACAGCCGAAGACGTGGACGCCGTGATTTCCTGCGAGGTTCCGCCCGAACCTGGCAAGCTTCGTGACCTGGTCTTGCTCCACATGGTCCACCGCTGCAACCACTCCTGCCACCCTGACGACCCAGCGCAGGAATGCGTCAAAGGGTGCCCTTGGCCTTTCAAGGACGACACTGACTTCGACGTTCGAGGGTGCCCCCACCACCGACGCCGCTCCTGCGGCCACACGTGCCCGAACTGCGTGCAAAACGCTCCTGCGTACGGGCGCCGGAATGTGTGCTGCAACCGGCTCGTCGTCGAGTACTGCCCCCGCATACTCTTGCTTTGGGAAGGACCGGCGGAACACCTCTCCGCGCAAAGTTCCTCATCCACTTACTCGCGCCCGCGAGCACCTTCCCCGCATTTCCCCACCTCTTTTCCGCAGACTTCCACTTCTCCCAATTCCTGCCCCCATGGGTCCCCCAATGTATGTTTTCATACATTATCAGCAAAAAACGCATGCCAAAAAAACTGCTTCCGAAGGGACATTTTTTGACACCCCATTTCCAAGCCCGCGCCTCCGCAAAACGTACGTTTTCGGCAGTCGAGGGACGCCCTGGAAGTCGGATTTGTAGTGCTTCCCCACCCATGGTTTTCTTCTTCCCTACTCCTTTTGGACCGTACGTTTCCCTAGTCCCTCCCTCTTCTTTTTCCCCCCTTAACCCGTCATGTCCACCTCCTTCCCGATGCGGAGAGGTGTTCGGCCAAGGACACGCGAATGTAAAATTCGCAGGCAACGTGAACCTCTTCGAATACCTGTACAAGTACATCTTCAAAGGCCCAGACCACACCCAAAACCATATATCTGACGCCACGACAGACGAAATCACAGACTGGCAACGTGGACGGTATTTATGTGCAACAGAGTGTGCCTGGCGTATTTTCGGATACCAGACCTACGAACGCGCCCCCCACGTCATCTGCCTACCAGTGCACCTCCCCGGCGACGATTGGGTAACCTTTGCTGACGGCGGCGAGGCGGACGCGCTCCAGACTACCGTTTCCCCTCTACAACGCTACTTTTTCCGGCCCACCGCTCCGCCTTTCAACGACCTGCTTTGCCACGAATACTTCGAATCCTTCATGGTCGCCAAGACGTGCCCGATTAGCCTCCGATGTTTCTTCCCGGACCTCTTCCCGGATGCGGCTCAACGACCTCGGGGCCCGGCAACTTTCACATTGGAGTGCCGGGTTCGTGGAGCCTTGCGCACATTCCACGTGCCGCCCGTCCTCGACGCAGCTCCAGGAGGCAACCAATTCTTTGTCTACTTGAAGCAGAAAGGCGAACATCCAGTTTGCCGCTTAGAGATGAAGTTTCCCCGCCAGAAAGATGTATTTTTCTTGCGCCACATGTTGCTCAACTACCCCAAGCGCAGTTTCGAGGAATGCAAGACTCACGCTGGACATAGATACCGATCTTATGAAGAGGCAATGATTGCTACGGGGCTTTTCACCCACGAAGACGAAACCTCTCGAGTAATGGACGAGCTGGTCTCGCTCCGATACACGGCCTCCCAACTACGGTTCGCTTTCGTCGTCCTCCTCGAGCAGGACGCCAAGCCCCGCACGCTGTACGAGAAGTACGAGACACACTTGATGAAAGATTTCCTCGACAGGGGTCTCTCCAAGGACACCGCCCGCCAGGAGCTACAGCGAACGCTCAAAGCATCCTGGCTGGCCCAAGGCAACACTGAGGAAGCCTGGGTTCTACACTCCCCCGCTCACCCCACCACTGCCCGCGGCGCGCCCGTGCCCGACTTCACCCATTGCACCCCAGCAACAGCGGCATCAGAAGCCAACAGACTGTGGAACCTGATCAAACGAGACCCGGATCAGTCCGGGGCCGCCAAAGACGTCATCGACGGCGTGCGTTCTGGCGCGTCCAAGCTCATTTTCTGCCAGGGTCGAGCCGGCTGCGGCAAATCCACCCTCGCCAAGTACATCTCCTACTACGTGCGGTCCCTCGGCAAAAGCTGCGTCAACGTGGCTTCAACGGGCATAGCGGCCTTAAACTTGCCAGATGGGGCCACCGCGCACTCGACTTTCAAGATCCCGATAGAAGACGCAGAGCACCTCACCTGCCGCCTGGGGCACTCCTCCGCGGGCGCCCTCACCATCGCGGCCGCTGCCGTCATTCAGTGGGACGAGTGGCCATCTTGCAAACGCGCTGCCTGGGATGCGGTCCTCGACTACCTCGCGCTCCTGCAGCAGGCTCGGCCAGACATTTACGTCCCAAAAGTCATCATCACCTACGGGGACTTCCGCCAGATACCGCCTGTTCTGAAGCACGCGTCTAGACAGGATGTCCGCGCCGCCAGCGTCACAACGTCGGCTTCGTGGCCCTCCTTCCGCACTTGGCAACTCCGCACCACGCACCGACAAATCCACGACAGTGACTACGCTTCATGGATCGAACGCATCGGCCAGGGCGAGGTTCCGCACACGCACACCATTGATGGCGAACCCGGCTATATCGAGCTCGACCGCTGCTCCGTGACCCACACCATGGACGACGCCATCACTCATTGCTTCCCACACATAAACGACCCCGCCGAGTGCGCCGATCGGAAGATTCTGACAGCAACGATTGAGGCGAGAAACACCTTTAACGACCGTATCCTGGATACTCTGACGCGCACTTATCTGCTGCACGAGTTCATCGCCAAAAGCTCGGACGCCATTGAATACGACTCCAACAACGACACCGTCGAAGATCACATCACCGCCGAGTTCCTCAACCTGCAGGACGAGAACGGAGTCCCCCCACACGCTCTCCGGCTCGTTGTTGGCGGCCTCTACGAGCTGATGAGAAACTTCAGTCCGTGTGATCGCTTGATGAACCACACGCACGTCGTGCTCAAATCGGTCTACGAGAAACACGTCCTCGTGGAGCGGCTCGATGGGGAGCAGTTTCCCTTGCCCAGATCTGCTTCCGCTGGGCACTGGGGCGGGGGGCCACCACCATCCGCCGACGACAGTACCCTGTGCGTCCAGCGTACGCTTCGACGTTCAACGGCTCGCAAGGCACCACGCTGGCCCGCTGCGTGGTCGACGTCCGCAGAAGCCCGTTTTCCCACGGCCATCTCTACGTAGCTTTTTTTTTTTATTTTTTTTTTTTTTTTTTTTTTTTTTTTTGTGTTTTTTTTTTTTTTTTTTTGTTCTCTTTTTTTTTTTTTTTTGTTTTTTTTTATTTTTTTTTTTTGGAGCCGGGAGGTGGAGACTCGAACGACCATCCGCATCTTCACACTGCCGGAACGCTGCAGCACTGCTGGCAAAGCCCTCACCAAAAACGTGGTGTGGCCTGAGTTCTTGCTCAACGATTCTGCCCCATCGGTTGCCCGGAAACGACCGGCGGCGAGTTCCCGCGACCAGCCTGTTAGCAGCAAGCGCGGGGCCCGACGCCGCTAGGATGCCTTCTTCCTCCCTTGCCTTCGCGTGGGCGCAAAAACAGACCATCGCCGTTCCTCCGTCGTCGCCCTCCCTCCTCTCTCCCCCCGCGTGCCGCCGCCCCGCCAGCCCTGTCGGCCCGCCAGCTTGCGGGGCCATTTCAATTCTCTCGTTGCCGCCACGCAGTGAGCATTTCGGCTGCCAGGCTCCGCCGAGCGTTCGTCTTTTCCTACACTTCTCGCACGTTGGGCCCCCTTCCCTCCCACCTGCGCCGCGATGCCTACCGTCTTCGCCAAGCCCGCTGCCGCCCCCAGCGTCATGCGCAGGCCAGCTGGCAACGCGGTCCTCGACACGTCCGTGCCGGTGCGCGCGCAGCCCGACGTTGGGGACCGCATCCGCGCGTCCCTGTACACGGTGAACGTCACGATCGAGATGGTCGACACGCCGACGAAGGCCAACGCGGGTTCTCGCCTCGCGCTGTCCGACGGCATCAGCATGCGCAGCGGGGCCCCCGCCAACCGCCACGGCCTCACCACTACAGTGAAGAGGGCCACCGACCTGCTGAAGTTGAACCAGCCACCCAACGGAGTATGCGTTTCCGCTGAAGGGCTCCAGCCACCGCAGGCCGGGCATAACCCTACCTCCGGGAGGAGTTGGGCCTGGGTGGTGGCCGCCTATGGCGACAGCGCCAGAGCCGCCTCCCTCGCCACGGAGTACGTGGCGACCCGCGCCGTCGACATCATCACCCACTGCTTCTTGAAGGCCGACCTCCACGTCCCGGCGACTGACACCCAGTGCGCCTGGTCCGCCAAGTCCACGCTGCTGAACAATCGGGTGTCCATCCGCCGCACGGGCTCCATGACGAATGGCCAGACGTACGAGCTCAACGACCTGATCAATTTCGTCTACACGATCCACCCGAACGTCCCGCCCAAGGTGGCCCGCGCACTCAAGGACTTCTTCGACGCGTACCCGTCCATCATCACGGAGGGTGCAGGCCCGGCCCTCGTAGGCCCCGCCTCCACGACCGTGCACCACAGCACTTCCGCTGCGGCCGCAGCGCCGAAGCGCGGGGTGAAGCGGCCCCCGGCGCCCAGCGCGGCGAAGAAGGCCAAGAAGCGCTGATGCTCCAGGCCCAGGCAACTCCAGCGCAAGTTTTTGAATGCCGCGCTGGCTCCCCGTAGCCCGCCGCGTTGCGCGGGCTGTCATTTTCGTGAGTTCTTGCGGTTCCCGCTCGAAAACCTTGCCCCCGCGTCGCGGCCCATTACGGTTCTGCCGCGCGCCCGCTGGCACTTCTTTGCTTCGCGATTCCCTTATTCAGCAGACTTCCACGTTTTGCAAATCTACGCCCCTGGGTTCGCCCAGTGTATTTTTCCATATATTCGCAGCCAAAAACCGAGTGTCAAAAAATCGGGCCCCCAAGGCGTATTTCTTGACATCCCGGTTTCGCACCCGCGCCTCAGCGAAACGGACATTTTGTGCCCCCCAACGATACCGTGGATGTCTGATTTAAACCGTGCTTCATATTTGATCATCCCCTTCACGACTCATATTTCGGCCCCGCCTTTTCTTCTGATATTTTTGTTTGTTTTTTCTTTTTTTTATTTGGTCTCTTATGTTGTTTTCTTTTTTGGTTTTGTATTCGGTTTTTTTTGTTTGTTTCCGTCATTATGAGGCCTGTTTAGTTCTTACTTCTCTCTTCTTGGGGGTGTTTTTTTGTTTTTTTCTGCTGAGCCTCGTCTCTGCTTTTGGTGTCTTTCAGCGGAAGACGGCGTCGACCTCAGAAGGGAATCATCGCCGGTCGTCCTTCGTCCGTCGTCGTCTCCCTGTCCCTGGCCCTGTCATCCCCTTCCGGGGCATACGGCCTCGCGCATCCACAACCGTCCGCTAACATCCTGCCGCTCCAGAGGCAACCGTGCGAACGGTTTCATCCGTATCCCACCTCTTCTTCTTCGTCGTCCTCACCCTCTACCTCCTTCCCCTGCCTCCACCTCATGCCCCCTCCTCTTCCTCGTGCCTCCTCTTCCTCCCGCCACCTCCAACTCCTCCTGTCACCTCCGCTGTTTCTTGCTGCGTTTCCACTTGCGTCAACCAGCCAGATCTTTCTCCCCGGACCCGCCCCCCAGGCCCCCATGAGAGCCCACAGGACCCCAAAGGACAACACAGGACTTCACAGGTTGCCACCGCACGCAACAAGCTTTTCAGTGGGTTGTCTTCCGATTCGGCAAGACCGCGCGTCCCCTTACAAAATATCGCCGGGCATGTACTTCTCTTCTGCCCTTGACACCCCCGCCTCCTTCAATCACTTGCGTGTAATCAAAGCGCATCGTACACTAACGATCCACCCGGAAGCGTCATTGCCTCTTCGCCTTCTCGCCAATATTTTCGACGGCTTTTCTCGCTCGGCCGTCACGTTTTGCCGAGATCGGTCTTCCGCGCCAAGCAACACCCCCGCACATTATGCGTTGAATCCCCGCCTCCGTCAGACAGGATCGGAATGCGCCCAGAGCTATTGCATCCTTTCGGTGTGCCCTACTCGCACACCGCCCTTTAGACCCCACGAGCATTGCATCCATACCGCAAGTCTGGCTTGCGCATGTCGAATGTTCTTGAAGTGGCTTCCGCCATTCCGCCGCCCCCCAGAAGAACTTCCGACCATCGTGGAAGATGCATGCTGGCCATCGGCCCCGCCCGCCATTGTGCCTGGGCTGTGGGAGATACCACGTTGGGGCATACAAGAGTCGTTGTAGATGCCTTTCAAGGCCCTCTGGAGGACGCTAGGGAACATCTGGATAACGCTTATGAGAGTTATTCCAGGTCCCTGGAGGCCTCTTCCGGCACCTCGATACCTTCTTGAGGTCCTTCGGGGCGCCTCCGGGGCCTCTGCAAGGCTCGAGGACCCGTTTTAGGACAGATAGCTCCTCATGTGAAGTCGTCTTCTTCTCTTTCGCCCCTCTAGCATCCTCTTGGGCCGCTTTGGGATATTTGGACATCTCTAGAGCTCCTCTTCGACCCCCAAAAAGGGATGCAATACACTGCAGGGACGCCCACTCATCTCACACACCTTTGCGCACCTACCCAGCAGAGTTGAGCGGATCTCACACACATTCCGAATGTGACTCCGGAGCCATCTGGGTCGAGCGTTTCAGCCCCTGTCTCCTTCCATCATCTTTCGCATTTCGACCTGCTGTGCCATCGAGCGCTTTGCGCAAGCCCTCCGCCACCCCATCACATTGCGTCTGGCACTCGAGAAGAACCCTAAAGACCCCTACCAGCCTAACGATCCCGTCAGGACCTCGCACCATGTTACAGAACCACACAACAAAAACACTTCTCACTGGAACATCAAAACCCCACACGCCCCACAGCACTCTACAGGGCCCCTCTGGACCTCCCAGGCTCCAATCGGAGAACACAAGACCCTTCAAGCCTTCCAGGCCCCGACAAGCTCACCGTACTTCCCAATACCCACACACACCTTTCGCACCCTACGGGACGCCACAGGACCGCATAGGACAACAATGATTCCAAAGCACCCCAATATTACCTGACGCCCCACCGGACCTCACTGAACCGTGTGCCCCATCACAGGCATCAAAAACCCAACGCGCGTCCACATGATCTCATCACGCCACGCGGGAGACCGCAGGACCGAACACGACTGCAGAACCCAAACGTGCCCACATAGAACACCAAGGTGCCCCCCAGAACACCAACGATCACCCACAAAACTAGACCCCGCCAGACCCCACCGAAGTTTCAGTCCCGACGAATCCCACAAAAGCCGACAGGATTCCGTAAGACCCCAGAACCTCGACGCGACCACAAAAACACCAAGGTCGCCCCCACGACATTTCAAACCTACATCTTGCAAAGCTTCCGAAGTCCACACAGGACCACGCAGCCGAAGTGAGAACCCGGCGAACTCAAGACCCCCAAAACCGAGAATGCACCCGACTATACCCAATAAGACCTTTCCGGACCCCACAGACCCCGCACACCTTTTCGCGGAGCAGATGTTTCTCCACTGGCGGCCACGCCGTCACGAGACAACACCATCTCTTATATACTTTAGGGCGCTGCCTCTGGGTGCGTGGAGTCGTGCCTCTCAGCCCCTGTCTCCTCATCCGCGTTGTTACCTCCACTTCCTCCATATCGGCTCTCCGCTGTACCATCCAGACTGTTAGGTCACCTCCTCCGCCGTAATCCCACCCTGTCCTTTCGTTGCTCTCCCTCTCTTTATCTTCCACCCTCTGCTCACTTCTCTCCGTCATCGCCGCTCCGCGCACCTACCCCCTACACCACGCGCCTCTTGCACTTCACCCCGCTCCCTTCCCATAATCGAACAATCCTCTCCCGTCCTTCCTTCTCCCGCGTCTGCTACGCTCCTTCTCCTACTGTTTCGCACGCCTGTGGCCCTTCTTCGGGTTGGCGACGATCCCATTCGACAGCGATGCTGGACTCCAACGAGCAAAAATCAATACGGTCAGCCTCGTCTGAGGGCGTACTGGGCGTTGTTTGCGACAAAGACCTTCTCACGCATTGGCATTTGATGTTGCCCTGCCGCAGTTGTATGAGTTACGCTGCGTACAAAGATATGTCTCACTTCCCCATCTGTTTTCTCGACGGCAGCTGTTCTTACAAAAAACACGACCGCGACATTTTCTTGAACGCCGTGCAAAAACGGAAGAATGGACGAAGAGACATGCACCATTGGATTCCGATAGACAAGTTGCCTGAAGCATTCCACCTACCCAAACTCGCAGACACCATCCAGCCCGAAGTGGACCATGATTTCCGCACGCGGAAGCTGAATCACTTTCATCCGATCCTTGACAATACAAGCGCCACCAAGCACTACCTACTGATGGCGAATAAGAAGCAACCCTTGACGACGTTGGCGCTGTTCATTTTTATGTCTACTTTGTACCTTAATGAGGGCCACTACCTGGTCACGGTCTTAGCCGTTTATCACTGGTTAGCGCACCAGAAGCAATCTCGACAAGAAATCGTCGCCAGCAGCGCTGCCCGGGACAAGCTCCAAAGCCGCCTCCTGGACGTTCGACGGCACATGTCCGCAGACGAAAAACTACCTGCCTTGATCTCCACAGACGCCTACAATGTGCAGCGCTTCTATGATGCTTTGGTGCTTTGTGAGACTCTGTACGGACGACAGCCAGATGCCGGCTACCACTTGCCGAGCTTCACGCCCGGCGACGATTCGAAACAGTTGTTGGGCGAAGGCGTTGGCACCAAGCCCCACCGCGTGGCTGTTCGCATGCATCACATGGCCCAGACCTTGACGGAACACCAGGCTACCCTGAACGGTAGCCCTGTGCTCATGGTTCAGATGACGAAGACGCTTCTCGCCACCCACGCTTCGTGGCTCCCGTACCAAGCTCAACTGGTGTATAAACGATTCTTTGAGAGTTCATTCGGCACACTCAATTGGCACCAATCAATTATGTCTGAGCTCACATTTATGGAACACGTCGGAGACGGTGACTTCTACTTTTTGAGACACCTGTGCCCGGCGGCCTTCGACATGTACAATGCTCTCGCTGATAGGGAACCCACTGATAGTGGCAAAAGAACAGTGGCTGCCAACGTCACGCAAGCAGAAAGGGAGCTTGGCCGCACGCTGGTGCAGATGCTGACGTCGCGGCAACACTCCATGGGCCTGCATTGCCGCGTTAACGCGTTGTTGGGCATGGACCTCATGGATTTTGATGAGACACAATACACGATCTGTGAGAATCGAACTTTCCTGTGGGGGTCCCGCATGCGCAAGAAAATGGCGACAGACACGTGGCTCCACCAAATGCGCTCCGCGCACAGATCCTGGCACAGAGAAACCCTACTCCCCTTCGTGTGGGGGGCCGTGGCCTTGCGCGACGGCAAGCGTTCGAGGTGATCCTATTGTCTTTCCTGTGAGCCACGCCTGTCTAGACTTCCGACCCCGCCTGCTTACGCCAACGCCGTTGCTGTTCGTGGGGCCACCGTGCCATCGCTTTCTCTTCGCAAGAAAAGTCACTCCTCATCCTTCTCCTCCTCCTCCGCCTCCTCTCCCATCCCCTCGCCCTCGTCGTCGCCGTCGCCGCCCCCAAACCGCCCTACCCAACCTG